CTGGATGGCAGGGCCCAGAGAGTGGTGATCAGCGGTGCAGAGGCTAGTTGGAGGCCTGTGGCTAGGGGGGGCCCCCCGGGGGCAGTCCTTGGTCCCGTCCTGTTCAATTTATTCATCAATGACCTGGATGAAGGCACAGAGTGCTCCCTCAGCAAGTTTGCTGATGACACGAAACTGGGAGGAGTAGCCTCCCCCAGAGGGCTGTGCTGCCATCCAGAGGGACCTGGACAGACTGGACAACTGGGCGGTGAAAAACCTCATGCAATTCAACAAGGCCAAGTGCAAGGTCCTGCACCTGGGGAGGAATAACCCCAGACACCAGTACAGGCTGGGGACCGACCTTGTGGAGAGCAGCTCTGCGGGGAAAGACCTGGGTGTCATGGTGGATGATAAGTTGACCATGAGGCAGCAGTGTGCCCTCGTGGCCAAGAAGGCCAATGGGATCCTGGGCTGCATTAAGAAGAGCATCTCTAGCAGGTCGAGGGAGGTGATCCTGCCCCTCTACTCAGCCCTGGTGAGGCCGCATCTGGAGTATTGTGTCCAGTTCTGGGCCCCACAGGACAAGAGGGCTGTGGAGCTGCTGGAGAGAGTCCAGCGACGGGCTACAAGGATGATCAGGGGCCTGGAACATCTGCCCTATGAGGAGAGGCTGAGGGAGCTGGGCCTGTTCAGCCTGGAGAAGAGAAGGCTGAGAGGGGACCTGATCAGTGTCTATAAGTACCTCAAGGGAGGGAGTGAGGAGGATGGTGCTGGCCTCTTTTCAGTGGTGGCCACCAACAGAACTAGAGGTAATGGCCACAAACTGAAGCATCAAAAGTTCCCCAGGAACTTAAGGAAAATTTTTCTTAACAGTGAGGGTGACAGAGCCCTGGAACAGGCTGCCCAGAGAGGTTGTGGAATCTCCTTCTCTGGAGATTTTCAAAACCCACTTGGATGCAGTCCTGTGCCACATGTTCTAGGTGACCCTGCGTGTGCAGGGAGGTTGGGCTAGATGATCTCTAGAGGTCCCTTCCCATCTTAACCATCTAAATTGATGTACTAGACACATCTACATTCTCTTTAAAAATGGTTCTAATAGCAAAGTTGGTTATTATAAATTTCCCTAGTGATTTGCACTACTCTTTTCTGTTTTTGAGGATTAGACCTTAATGTACAGCACAATCTGGAAGTGTTAGCTATGTAATTAACTGCTGTATTTTTGCTTCCTTCGGTTCAGTTAATTTAGTTGGCCAGAGTAATCATTTTCTAAGACAGGATAAAATTTCCAGCTGTTCCTCACCCTAACAATTAGTGCAGCTACTGTTCTTTCCAGAAATATTGTATATTTGCTGGCCTACTGTTGCCTTCTCATAATTCTCCATAGCAGCTGAACAGCAACACTAGATTTTATGACCGCTTCCTTTTTTTGTCCTTTACTAGACTGGCTTGGAAATTATTTTATCTGAAGAATAAATTAGTAGAAACTGCAACCCCCCCCCCCCCCCCCCCCACGACTTCTTCATGGCTTCAATTCAGAAGACATCCATTTCTCATAAGTTATCTCAGAAGAATGAAAGATACTCTGTATTTTGTCATCAAATTCTTCCTGAAGCTAGAATGACTGCACTGAGACAATATATCTTCACAAAAGCAACAAATATAGTGTGCATATTCTGGGTCTTTTTAAGAACATTGCATACAATTTTATCACAGAAAACAGGAACAAGCTTTCTCTGTATTTTAAATGCATTAAACTTTTTCAAAACCAAGGTGAGGTGTTGAACTTCCATGTAACTCCAGATCTTCAAATATATCCTCCTGCCATATGGATTAATGCTGCCATAAGAGATCTGTGCTGTCTGTTCATGGACTTCATCTTTGTATAAATCATTGCAGTATTTGCAGTAAACTGAATTCAGATTTAGCAATAAAAACAGATTTTTAGTCATTTAATTTGTTTTTAAGTATATTTAACCTTTTTTTTTTGTCTTCCTGGGAATCTTAATCTGTTAAGAAATCTCATTATGTATTTTTTAGAAACAAAGGCATCTTCTGGGCTGGGTTTCAGTTACAAAAAGTGTTACTGAGGTTACCTAGAACTGCCTCTCCACCTCCTTTAGCCCTTCCTCAGACCACTCTAGGAACCAGCAGTAAAGTACCAACAGCAGTAAAGTACCAGCACTCTGAGACATGGGTGGAAGTTTTCTTGTCAAGGAGAGAGAGGAGGAAAAAAAAAAAAAAAAGGCACCTTGCTTTGACAGTTGAGAAATCTACTCTGCTGTTCAAGAGTTTCAGTCTGGATCAGTTGTGGATGTTGGTTTTTTTTTTTTTTTTTTTTTTTTTTCCCCCCCCTTTTTTCCTTTTTTTTTTTTTTCCCCCCCCCCTTTTTTTTTCCTTTTTTTTTTTTTTTTGCAGTGCATTTCTGCATTTGATAAAAGTACTCACTGAAGTATGTTAACAGAGTTTAGATTATATATTTGTTACCAGAGACATGGCAAGGTTTACTCAGGAATACTGCATTAACTCTATATAACACCCATTGTAAAATCCACTTTATCTTGTTATGATTCAGAAAAAGACCAACTCTTGTAGCATGATGCCAGGGTGAAGGCATGGCCCTGTACTAACATGATTTTTTATACAGCATATGTCCTTCCATAAATACAATAGTAAATGGAGAAGAAGCATGAAACTAGCAAAAAAACTGCTCCAAAATGAGTTTCATTTTATGTAAGTCCAACTAGTGATGCAAGTAAGTATTCATACTTCAGTCATTATTCAGCAGCCATCCTGCAACAATGGCTTGAAAACTGCTCCTTTAATCTATAACTTAATGATTATTTTCATGCTGCTTCCCTGCATACAACATGCATTTCTGATTGGTGCTAAGTAGGCACCAAAACATGCCAAGACCTGTACAGACAGATCACATTGCAGAGATGTGTCACATTTTTCATATACTTTCAGGCAGGAAACAACATCTGGTCCTCTAAGTCCAGTTCAAGTAATTTCAGTCCATCATAGCAATGGGCTGCAGGACTGAGTGCCATAAAAAGTCATACTAATTTTGCATCTAAATTCTTGCTGTTTCAGGATTGGTGTTGGCCTGATCCTTACAATACTGGCCTGTAATCAACGCTGTTCCTTAACATCCCTCCTGATAGACCCACAGGACTAGATGTGTTATTTACAGAGCTTAGTAAAAAGCTACTGGACTCTTTTAACTGCCTCTCTTCTGTCTCTCCTCTTTGGTACTTGCTCTAAACCACTCTCTGTTTGTGGCCGGTGGCTTGCACAGAGCTTTGAAGAGCAGCACGCTGATCCTTTCTCAAGTTAAATCCTGCTATAGCAGCTTCAAACAAACAAAAGCCATGGCTCTTCCAATTAACCTGTACTAGCACCTATGACCCAAAGCAGCTGTCTTCCACCTCCTCTCTCCCTTTTTTCCCCCCTTTTACCTGTGCTGAGACAAATGGTGAGAAGGATCAGTGATGTTTCACTGAGAGCTGCTGCAAAACTAAGGTCAGGGAAATGTTTCATGGAATTTCTTCCTAAATTACAGGCTTGCACAGAATAGTCATTTCCAAAACTAATCATTCTGAAATCAGAGGCCTTTTGAAAAATATTTCAAACATAACTAACCAACTCAGACACGTTTACAAAGTAAAACCCTTCCCACAGCAAAATATAACTTGCAAAGAAGTAAATTCTCATTTGAAATTCATTTAATAGCCTTATTTATTAAATACATTATGTAAAATCTACATCATTATTTCAGTTTTCCTGTTTACACACAAGAGGATTTTTTTTCCCCCCCCACATGATGCAACAAGAGCTTCCCATAGCTATCTTTCTATGGGAGATACAAACATTAAACACTACAAGAATTCCTGGCTCATTTAACTCTTTTTTTCATTGCCTTCCCTTTATTTTCCTCCAGCCCTGACAAACAGGCTTGTATTCCAAAAGTGATTTTTAAGCAGTTCCAAGGAAAGTCTGCTGCTATGAACTCCTGGAAACAGGGAGAACTCCTAGAGAGGTCTACAATTCTTCCTTTGACAAGAAGTTCTTATAGGAAAAGGCAATCCTTTTTTTTTTTTTTTTCCTGATGTTGACTTGCAAAAATAACTTGAGTGCCACCACCTGAAACATGTTGATATACATGGTGCCATTTGTGAGAATTCAGGTACTTGTGGGATTTCTATTAGTACTAGGTAGAGGTATTGTGCAAATCCTCAAATGATGCAATTTCACCCCACTTTTCAGCTGCTGGCACTACACAAAGGGAAAAATAGGTATTAGCTACTTTCTTTAAAGCAACAGAACTACTCAACTACCTACAACCTACAGGTAATGTACATGTAAGTTTGTCATGCATCAAAAGCCAAATTTTAACAATATGTAAGAGGGTAGTATGTATTTCCTTTAGCTGCATCCCTGATCTTTGACAGTTATCCTATTCATATGTAGAGGTCAGACTGCACCTTTACTCTGACAGCATTATCACACCATATCACATGTTGTATATCTGCATTATCCTAAGATACAACTCTCCTTAGTACTTAAACATTACCCTTTATTATACATCAACTAATTTCTATTTGTGTGTTTGTTTTTACAGAGAAAATGTTAGAATTATATAACCACTCTTTATGGTATTCAAATAAATCTAGATTCCAGATTTTTACAAGGAGGATGAAATGGTAGCTGTTTGTCCAATCCAACAGCTCTTGTGGTTCCTGGATATGGGACATCCTGTGAAATGAACTAGCCACAAAAAAAGTCTCCAAACACATTAAAAATGTACACACACTGAAAGTAATTTACATTGACAAATAAGGAATGTTGTTAAGGCTGTGCTTCATAAAAAGGATGTCTAGGGTTAAGTAGCCTTCATCGAGGCACAGAATGGGAAGAGATGAGCACAGCTGTCTGTAGAAGAGAAGTTACGTCCAACCACTAGTGAGGTGTGCATGCACGCAAACACAATTTAAAACTGCACAGCTGGTCTTTGTAACAAAACTGAACATAGTTAAAAGGAAATACCATGGCATTTTTAATGGCCACAGTTTTACTTCATTATTAAAAACATGGCAAATATTTCCAAAACATAAAATTCACTAGTTGAATAAATGAAATATTTGAAACAAAGTGCTTCACAGATCTGAACCCTGCATGGTTGTGCCGTCTGGTCTAGAAGCATTTTGTAGACATCATAGGAGCATTTCACACAAAACTGAAAACGTCACTCAGGTGAATAAGAAACAGGACATTTCCACAGACATTTCTAAAGTTTTTCACTTTCAAGTAGTTGAGTTCTTCCAGCCACTGGGTTTTGTAACAAACGTGTGCTACAGCAGTATGGGTTCATGGATTCCTTTAGCAGCAAAGGCCTATTTCAAAGGGCACGTGGTCTTTTCGGATTGATCTGTTTACTGGCCTGTTCCTCCTCTTGTAGAGCTGCACGGAAAGATTTCACTTTATCTTTAATGAAAAAAAAAAGAGAGAATGAGTATTGATGTGCTTACGCTCATCACAGATCCTGCAACTACACGCTGCTGCTCCACAGCCTGGCCCTACCGCACAGCAAAGGACGTTCACTCCTCCACACGCACACAAGAAAAGGCTGAGGCTGCAAACCACAAGAGGACTGACATGGGCTTAAATTCAATACTCACCATACAGGCAAGTTGCTTAGCAACTCAGTCCCTTCCCAGATGCTGCTCCTGTCTCTAGGCAGGATAGATTAGGAAGCTGCACAGTTGCATTCCCAACGTGTAACCACTGCACACTTACATTCTGCTTCAAACTTACAGAGTACATGGCTACTTCCTTCTCCTTCCCAGGAGCTTCTAAACTGCCCTTAAAGGCAACCCAAGTTGTATTTAGGTCTACAATCAGTCACTCCTGTGCAGTCTAAAACCCCCCAAATTTGATTCTCCTATATTTTACCATGAATGTAGAAAAGCATTCATGATTACATTTTTGAAGATATTCGCCATAAATAAACGTACCATTCCTAACAAGAGAATTGGAGAAACCTGAGGAAGGAAATATGGCATCCTTTCCTATTTCTATTCCTCTCCTTCCTATTCCCCTGTAATAAGCTCAAGAATGTGAGGAGCAGAACCAAAATGAAATTGTAAAGGAATCAATCCCAAAATGACAGGAATAGAAGCCGAAATATTCAGTGACCATTATGTGCCATGAACAGAGCACAAATGTTGCTGAGCAAAAGAACCTTTGACTTAACAGTAATTCTCTCCTGTAAAGTTGTGTATGTATCATACTGACCGTAAAGAAGCAAGGTTCTCCTAAATTGCCTTTGCCTCCAGTGCTTTTTTTCAAAAGCAGTATCTAATAATTATTAAAGACCTGGGAGAAAAATTGGTGCTTCGCCATTGCTGATATCTAAAATTGTCTTATTGTGAAATGGAAGCCATCATCTAGTTCATAAAAAGCAAGAGAAAGTACCTCCACTTCTTTGCTAGAGTACAGCAAGAGTGGAAGAAGGCCAGAAGGCAAGAAGACCGGAAGACTGGAAGAAGGCCAATGTCACGCCAGTCTTCAAAAAAGGCAAGAAGGAGGACCCAGGCAACTACAGGCCAGTGAGCCTCACCTCCGTCCCCGGAAAAGTGATGGAATGGCTCATACTGGC